CAACCATTCTGCTCGACCTGTTTTCTTCTTTCCAGTCTTACACTCATGTTATGCTAGCAAAACAGAGCTGCAAGGACTTCCCAAAACAATTCCATATAATAATATAGAAATAAAAGCAATGCAAGAATTGTCCAGCCTGATGAGTTCTGGGTTTTTTTCATAGTTTTAAAAGGGACCTCGGATGAATATTTTAGATTTGAACAGAACTGTGGCTTATTTTGTGCGTGAAATTATGGTTTATTGATCAAATCCTCTGCGATTTACTGGCGATCCGTGACCCCAAAAAGGGAATAAGCGGGTTGGAAAATGAATGGAATGATCAAAACCTGGATTTGTAAAATCCTGCAGTAAACTCTGCCATTTCTGAAAACTCTTTGTTTGTGATGCCTGCTTTCTTAAGTGTGAAACAATCAGTTCCCTTCAGACTATTTCACTTTCGCTGGCAGTATAAAACAACTTTTTAAAAGCTGTTTTTGAAGATCTGTACAGTGGAAATGTACTGTTGTAAAATTTGAACTATTACTTTTTCCAAATATAACTTCCGTGTTCACATAGAGCTTACATTAACTAAACACAGCAGTTTTTACTTTGTGACAGAAGTTAAGTTTTGAATAATTGCAAGAACAACAAATATCCAGAACAATGTCAGGACTGTATTCTTCTCCAGGAGTTCACAATAATTTACGTCATTTATGGTTGCAGTGTGCCGGTTGGTGTGTTGAATGCTGGGAAATCTGAAGAGTGTTAAGCGAAAATTGTGAAAAAGATTTGCATTTTCCAATTTTAGACTTTTTAATACTTCCCTAATTATCCTCAAACCGGTCTCATTTCCTTGTTTCCGTTGTTTAATGTTATTAATTAATAATAATAAATAATGATACAGTGGTACCCCACTTTGAGTTACGAAAGGTCTCGCTGGGAATTTTTTGCTTCGAGATGCGAAATTTTTTTGGGGATTTTTGTAATGAAAAAAACAACAGTTTTGCATTATTATCCGCTTAAGTCGGATGTCGTGCTGCGCTTCCGGGTCCTGGCGCTCCTTTCAGATTTGGGCACATATTACGTTTTTGCATGTGTTTTATTAAAATTTATTACATTAACAATGTGTAGATTTAAGGATTGAAGAAATGTTACTTGATTTTTCTCTGGTTTTCCATTTTTTTATCAACTCATACTGTTGTTTCTGAGAGCCGTTGCACGGATTAGGTGTTTTACATGTAAAACTTGTTTCAAGATACGAAATGTTTGAGATACAAACGCCACCCTGGAACGGATTAATTTCGTATCTCAGGGTACCACTGTATTCAGTTTCATTTTTTACATTGTAATACAAGTACATTAAAAAGTAACTGTAATTAAAATATCCCAAGATGAAAAGTAATTAGTTACTCTACTTTTTCAATGAATAATATTTTAATTACTGTAACGAGTTACTAAGTAACAAGTTGCATCCAACACTGCTCCTGCTGTGTCTCTCTCTCTCTCTCTAGGTTATTTCCATCTGACTCACCTCTTCATGGGTTCACCCGATATTTCAAAGCTGAGTTCTGTTCCTCTCAAAAAATGTTCTTATTTTGTACATGTGAGTGGACGTGAATAAATCCAAGTGCTTTTATTAATTCTACGATTCTCTCCATCCTTCCAGCCACTGTTACAAACACCCAATAAACGTTGTGAATTAATTTGAGCAAATATCTTTTAAAATTCCTATGCTTTCTTCTCATCTCAGAGTGATTGAAGGCTACTCACGGCAGTTCTCTTCATCGCTGTTGTCGGAGCAGTCATCATCATCGTCGCACCTCCATATGGTGGGGATACATCTCTTATTGTTGCACTGGAACTGTCCATCCTCGCATTCCGTCTCAGAGTCGGCTTCAGTAGCTGGGAATTACAGTAAAGAAGATAAAATCACCTCTGTGTAGCAAAAGAATTCCCAAAAGCATGTGTAACGGCGAACTATCCCTGCTCCACAATAACAACCGTTATCAGTATTACCGTTAATTACGAATAATAGCGAGTTCTGTCGGGTTTACCGCTAAATTAGGCAGAACCGTGACAAAACCCCTCATTTCTCGTGGTTTCCTGTGCAGTGGTGGATAAAAATGCAAAATGAGCCTCGTGTTGTAGTAAACCCAGCTTTTGCGAGGGATTAGAGGCAGAATAACAGAATGAAGCACACGGCTGCGAGTGTTTGGGAGCGCGCATCCACCAACAGCTTTCATTACAATATGGAAATATAACGCGACAAACCTCCTATTGAGTAGAATTCCGAAACCAGAAAATGAAAAAAGAACAATTTGGCGATATCCGTCCACATCTCTGAGGGTCGGAGGGTTCATTCACAGACAAAAGCTCGATCGGTTGGCGTCGCTCCTCCACTGAATCTTCAACGGATGCACTGGCCATTTGAATCAATGACGACATCAAACGTTGACGAGTAGGAATTATAACCGCAGCTTGTAAATAAATAAATAAATAATTAAATGACAATACTTTCAGTCAAGTTCACTGGGCCAGCCGAAACCTTCCTAAATGTAAATCCATTAATCTATAATATTTATTGTGTATTGTGTCATGATGCATTATCATAAAATAATGAAGAAAAATAATGAAGCTCATATCTACTTTGATCATTTTGAGTTGACTGCTCCTTCACCTGAGCATGAAGAACACCTAATGTACAAATTAAACTAAAATAAATTACAACGCTTTTCAGAGTTAATCCGTCCAAGCAGGCAGGAAGTAATCATGGAGAGTCAAAAGGTGTGAACCATATGAGGTGAAGGAATATAAAGGGGAAGAGCACATGAGAACAAAACAGTGATTGGGTGGGTGCAACAGAGAAATGAGGGAAACCACCCTGATCCCCCCCCCCCCACTGTTATGTTGTTTTAGGGGTGACACAAAATAAAAAAACAAGGGCAAACTTGATTATTCCAAAATTTCTAATTTTACATCAGTCAAAATGTAGCTATTGATGATTGTTAACAAGGTTCAGGAGGAGCTTGTTAGATATTTAAGCTATAGCTCTGAATTCACACGTTGTCTTTGAGTGAGAGGGAACTACATTGGCAGCTCTCATGCTGCTAATCAATCGTGATTAAAAGAATCCCTCCACCCATTGCCACACATGTGGGCTCAGTGGGCTTCTTTCTGGGAAAAGTGCCTTGTGATTCTTTGCAATGAAAATATTAAAATGCTAAATACTGTTGTAGAGATCAGCTTCTCCAAAAAGAAAGGTCTTACAGCAAGGGTTGCTGTTATATACCAATTTCATGCTGATGCTGGCTCCGATTAAACCCAGCAATAAAAAAAAACATTTTTGACATCTGAAACATTAATTATCTCTATGAATTGAGATAGATCAAGAAAGCCTAAAACCTTTTCGGTGCACGTAAATGTATTTACTATAAAATGTAGCAAAGGAAACAAGGGATAAGAGCAAAGGAAGCTGAAGTTATTCAAAATAAGTTCTTTACATTTGATTGTATTTGCAGATGAAAGAATCAGGAAGCCCAATTCATGACAGTATTCCGTGACTCAGTGTAGGCTGTACATTAAAGCTGATGGGGGAGGGGATTTGGGCCCATCATGTTATTAAAATGACTGATTATCCTGTCACAATCACACTGGCCTAGTTTTGACTGACAGAATAGTTTTGCTCAAAGCGACGAATACTGTATGCAGTAAATTACATTAAATGTAAACAAAAAGGTCACCTAAACTCAACGTAAGGATAATAATAGCTATAATTTTTGTATGCATTTTTATATAAAAACTGATTTGATTCTGAGGAAATTCACAAGTGGCATGAAAGGTGGATATAATCACATTTTAGACTGTAGTCATACAAGTAATTTTCCCATCTTTCCTTTCATATTCACATCAAGGTTAACTACAGCAGTTAAGTTTAAAAAGGAAAAATAATGAAGCTCATAATCTACTTTGATCATTTTGAAATGACTGCTCCTTCACCTGAACGTGAAGAACACCAAATGTACAAATGAAACTAAAATAAATTATAACACTTTTCAGAGTTTTGCAGTTAGCAAGTAAGTCTATATTTTTTTGTGTTGTCTATAGTTTCTGGTTGATCAGAGGTACATAAATGGCTTTGCTTATGCAAACTCAAGGGGATTGTTTTGTTAGCTTTTCAATAAAAGGCAAATAATGTTGCATCTGTGAGTGAACCATTGGTGATTAACACACCAAATCCAAAGGCAGCAGGCATGAAGTAATAGGGAAAAAGAAGGAAAGTGGCAGCAAACAATTCAATTAAATCACTTAAAATAGTACAGGTTTGGAGAAAAACAAATCGGACAAACTTGAGGAACAGGACCCTGGGAAGTGACCCTACAGAACTCCTAGAGTTAGTTGCTTGTAAATCAGCATTCAAAACACATAGGAATAAAATGAGAAGAAACTAACTGGACGTAATGAAACCAATGCTTTATTCTGTTAATGTCTCCTTTTAAACCCCTCCGACCAGATACATATATTTTTAAGAAAAACTATAAGTAAATAAATACGTTGTACTCTGAATATCAGAAGAGAATGTTTAGAATAAAAAGTTAAACACAAAATGTAAAGGGCTTTGTATGTGTAAATAAACAAACAAAGCAAACGCGGCAGCCACCACTGCTTCTGGTCTAAGTTAGGTTAAAAGAAGTATCACCAGGCCTGGAGAATGCAGAATATTCACTGTTTATTTATTTAATATGTCAGATTTCGTTTCATTCTTTTTTTTTTTTGGGGTCCTTATTAACTTGTGATAGAAGAAAAGAACATGTAAACTGTACAATTCGGATAATAAACTATTGCCAGAGAGATATTTTTAATTATTACAGCCAAATAATGTCCAACATGGTTTCTTAGAGTTTTATTATTTCAACCTAATACACATTCTTGTATTTACCAGTAATTTTTATTTTCTTTAAATCAATTTTTTTTTACACTAGCTGTCCTCTTTATTTCATCCATCAGTAATGAAGAATATAATTCTTTCTGTGGTTCAGTCAGTACAGCATTGGGCTAGCAACGCAAAGGTCAAGGGTTCTAACCCCAGGAAAAGCAGGGATCTGCCAAATGCAAACATGTAAATAATTCAATACCTCAAATGAACATTTAAAATATTTGTATTTGGAGTAGTATATAGATTTGGTCAGTAGCATCATAAAGTGTGAATGGAGGCCCAAAAATGACTTGCATATAAATGTAAAAATGTTGAAATAACAGGGGAAAGGGAAAGCTTCTGCTTGAGACTTGATTTATGGTTCAATGCAAAAACGTATTCGAGTGGAAGCACTTATCTGACCTGAAGCCTAAAGCTGACTTCAGCTCTGATCCTTCTTGTGCTTTCCTTACAATCAAATCAGTTTTAAGACTACGCAAAGATCCGAGATGCACTGTAAAACTTTACAGTAATGTTACCTGGATTTTCTTAGTTTCTTCTTGTTTTATTTTTAAGATATACAATCCACATAAAGACACTAGATTTGTTGAGAAGCAGTTTATTTCTGTAAAATTCAGTTAAATTACTGTATGGTACTGAATTTAGAAATTACAGAACTAGACAATTTTTGTTTATTTTGTGTATTTTACTCTAAATTTGAAAAAGTAATGTCATATACTATATGCCAACAACGGACCATATTTCAACAATTTAATCAAATTTTTCGGTTATAGTAATGGTTACATTTGGGGGAATTCCCATGTGTCTGCCTCAGCTTGAGAAAATGTCTGGACGCTCTTCTCACGCTCATTAAACACGTGATTTTCAAATCTCAATCATACCCCCCTCGCTAAACTAAACTTTAATGTAACTTGTTAGTCAGAAATATCACATTAGTGCATTCACAGCTGAGAAGATGTCGAGCGTTCCACCTGCGACACAGAGTAAGCGAACCCTCGAGAACAAATCGTCGCGCTTGCCCAAGTGCGCGAGGTGTCGGAACCATGGCTTCACGGTGCAATTAAAAGGCCATTCTGGAAAGTGTCAATTCAAGGAATGCTCGTGCTGGAAGTGTTCTCTAATCAACCAAAGGACGAGAATACTGGCTTCCCAAAGACGAATCAAATCCGTTGAGGGAAGAGATTCATTGAGTGGGAGGAAAACTACCTCCCCTGGCGACAAGGCCTCGGCGAAAGATGAAAATCGCGCTACTCGCGACGATTCGGGCGACAAATCGTACGCCGATCCCCGAGCGACTTTCCCGAACGCGAAGGACCAAAATAACGCGACAATGCGCAGTCCTGCCGTTCTTGGAGGTTTGTTCTACTACTTTTTTCTATTAAAAACATGAATAGCAAAGTATTAACAAGATGGTTAAAGTTTAAAAGTTACTTTCATTTACAGATTTATCACAAAGTATCGGGGAGTCCATATTTAAAGAACCAATTCATCCAGGAGAAATCTTTGCAATGCCTCTTCCCTTGTACCCGCATTACTCAGAAAGATACATGGTTCCCGCCCTGCTGGTGAGCCTGAGACAACCTGCACCAGAAACCTTCAGGGATCATGTTGGGATGGTTCCTCTTCAACCAGGAATGCTCACTCGCCCACTGGACAATCAAGAGTCACCGGTAAGTTTATGCAAAATTCAATATTAATCTACAAATACTAATCCTCGAAAAAAAAATACTTTAAACAAACATGCACCACCCAACAGAACCTATGGGCAAAGACAACAACGCCCAGACTCCTATGAGACCTATTTGTTTAAACCACCAATCTTGATTACGTTAGATTGAACTTTTTGAAACCTTAAAAACCTAGAATACTGATTACTCTGGTATGTTGGTGTTCTTGGATGGTAAAACCATAGCAGTTGTATATGTGCAGCTTTGAGTATATTCTGAGTGTTTAACAGCAAGAAAGAGATTAGAGAGTTGCTTAACTAAAAGAAAACTTCCACGCTCAACATTATTAAGAAATGAATAAGGATTGGCTTTAGAAAAGTTTTAGAATTTAAGGTAATTTGCTAGCTGTGGAAATATATTGAAAAATGCAGTCATCTTGGAAAAGACAAATAAGAATGTTTGGAGCTCATAAAGATGGAGCAAGATGCATGTTTATTTAAACAAGTAGTTTCATGTTTTAAGAACTGCAGTGAGAAGCATTATCAAGATGTTTAAAGAGACCAACACAGTGGAGAACTGTGACTGGAGATGCAGGAAGGAAATGTTTTTCAAAACCTTGGGGAAAAACCAATCATTCGAGAGGTTTGTAACCACCAAAGATCAACAGTCAAGACGCTTGTAAAAACCGAGATAATACCTAGAGCCCTGCACAAGATTGGACTGCACAGAATGACTATACTTCTGAAAGAGATGCCTGAATGAAGCGATTCATTCTGGAACAAAATTCTTTTGAACAGAGATATTGCTTATGTTTGGAGAAAGAAGGAAAGGGCATACAACCCAGAGGACACTATCCTGAAACATGGTGGTGGGGAGTATAATGCTGTAGCAGTATTTGGTTGTTGAAGGGAAAACTATAAGATTTTAAGACAACCTCTCTCAAGAAACGAGTCTGCAAGAAAATCAGGTTTTGGTCAACATTTTGACCATTTTGACTTTTCTGTTTAGTGCCAGGCTTGAGTCCATGCGAAAATCTGTGGGGCACACTAATGTTTAGTTTGAGCAAAAAGACAAACCAATCTATAGGAGCTTGAGATATCCACCTAGCAAGAATATGTTACAGTTCCCTGGGAGACATGCTTGAGACTAGTTGAGAGTTTAAAAGGGATTGACTGCTCACTATCAACATCAAAGGGATAATAATTTTGACTACCCACTTTTTCTATTTGTACTACCAAAACTACAGTCTTCTTGGATAAACCGTGATAAATGTTTAATAAAATGCAGAATGAAACAAATTAACTGCATCTATTACAAAATTGTATATATATTTAAATTGTAGTGATACATTTGGTAGAAAATTTTTCAATATGTTAATTTTTTAAACCATCAGGGGCACCGATTTTGTTTCTTTGATCATTTATTTAACCAGAAAAACCTAAATGAAAATTTTAACCCAAGCAAGATTTATTATTAAATATGGTACTCTTTAAAACTTAGGCATTGTTTTGTTTTCTGGAGATTCACGTCTCACATTACAGCCAGTACCCCCCTTACCCAGAGTTTAGAGACCACCCTTCACTGAGACAAATGGATGGACATGAAAGAAGACCAGGGATGCTTCCCCAATCTCCAATTGCTCCAGGTATGATGAATCATTTCAATATTTGCATTGTTTGTAACATCACAAGCATTAAGATCCCCCCCCCCCTCATACTTGGCTGTTGACAAGATGCACCACCATGCAAGACTCAGGACCCCATGAAAATATGTATCCTGGCAGTAGCACACCAACATGTAGACATAGTGTTCCACAAATGAATTTGAATCATTTCTTGAGGGCTACCATTTCTGATAAATGTCTTGTTTGTTAGGTACAGAAAGCAACGGTGGTGCTGTCCCGGAGACATGCGTATTATGCAACGAAAGTCCTTCAAGAAGCTCCAACTGAACCAATCACTTGGGCATTGTGCATGTAACCCAACTTGTTATAAGCTGAAACCCAACTTCTTATAGACAGAATGTTCAATTTTTGTCATTAAAATTCAGCATGTTATGTTCCTAAAGTTCAAAGTGATTGATGAAAAAACTTAAGTTCTGCAGATGCATTATTATAATATTCAAGAAGTTCAAAGAAATCCCTCAACACGTCTAATTAAAAACTTTTGAACAGGAATACGGGTTTGAGTCATCAGGAATTAAATGGCAAAAAGTTATTTTGTCAATGCTTTATGACACTATTCCAAAATATAACTTGTATATTTGATTGTTACTTGAATTTTAAAGAACCGCATCCACGTGCGAACTGGACATTTCATGGTACTTTTAAACAACACTTTCTATCCAATCCACTTAAAAGTTTTATTGACTTTCGTTTGCTAAACACAAACATTTAATCCAGTTTGGATCTTTAAAAAAATACAAAGGTGCCAGTCATCTGAAAATCAGAGCCATGCCTTTGGGGGTTGGAGGAAGGATGTCATTTAATGGCACAATCCATTTTCACTAAAGGCAGACATCTCATTTACGTCCCTTCATTTTTCTCCGGGCCTCCTTTCCTGGACGTTTCTAGATAAAGGAGTAAAGGTGATTAAACAAAGGAAATTTAAAAGTTTAATCAATAATTTCACTTGGGTGACAAACTTACATTTTTGCCACCTTTGCCATGTTTTTTACCACCTTTGCCATGAGCCACTTTGGCTTTAAAACTGGACACATCATCATAGCTGTCTTTGTTGTTCCATTTACTGCCCTTCTTCTTGCCTCCAAAGCCAAACTTCTTCTCTTTAAATTTCTTTTTTGCACTGAGACTAGACAAAAGAAAACAGAACAAAATAAAAAGTATAGTGTCAGGCAAGAGCAAATTACATATTTAATGTAAAGTAGATTTTTAACCATGTCTGCCCACGTCATGGCAAAAACATTGTTAACTTGGCTATAGCGCCATCCAAGGCTAACCACATATTCTTCATACAAAAAGAATAAAACTCATTGCATTACAATTTAAAAATATTTTTTTTAATTAACAGTTGAAAAGATTTTCAGACTCAGTAAAAATATTCTTAATTTCTTGCCAATTAAAAAGTGATTCTCATAGAATGACACAGTTGTGCTCATAAGGGAAACTGTTTGATTCCTTGGCCATTTTTCCAAAAACACTCACAGTTAGTGGTTAGATAAGGCTTTTTTTTGTAAAACATCTGTGTTTACTCTTTTTAAAATGTTACTGACGACCGAAACTTCCCCACTTTGTTGATGAAAAAAATAAGTGAACTTATGAGCAGCATCTAAACCTAATATTTGAAGAACTTTGTAGACGATGGCAGATTTAAGTCCATTTTTGCGCATGTATAAAGCACACAGACGCAAACACATTTCAACAGTTTGGTCCAGCAAATGAGAACGTTTACTGTATTCAATCAAAAAGCTTGTTTTAGTCATCTTCAAACGAACAGCTCCCCATTTTAGTCCGGTTCGGACTAAAAAGGGTT